GCCGAATGCAGCTGCTTCTACCACCTGGCCAAATGCCCCTCGTCCCAGTGGGTCACCTTTAAAGTAAAATGTTTGTCATGACCAAAATCCCTAAAGAAAATACTTTTAGTACTTATGATTTTAAAACAACTAGTTTTTAATAGAAATATAGCAACTAGTGAGGACAGTGCTAGAAATTTTAAAATGCCAAACTAAGGTGGTAAAAAAAAGCTTCTGGCAGGTATGATGGTTGTTAGCATGCTGAACATGAAGGAGAAGCCTCTTTCAGCTGCTCCCTTATTCACAAAGGGTCACCACAGCAGATAGCTCAGATGGCCTTCGTGACACAACACTAAAGGGACTTTTCACATATTAGGCAAATGTGTAACCCACTATGCTATAGGGCGATTTATGTTAGCTGAGCTGTTCCCTGATCTTGTAGGTAAGTGTAAAGGTCTCTGAGATACTCCAAATGATACAGAATTCTACAGCAAGAGTCTACTGACAATATCACACCTTCATTAGCTCCCCATTTGCTAACATATCCAATAAAGATTCTGCTTCTCACTTTAAAGCTTTCAGTTACATGGTACCCCATATCTATCATACCTCCTTCATCCTTATACCCTTTCCCTGTGCTGCCCTACACTCAGCAGCTCTATTGACTGCTCCTCGTTTCAAACTTAACACGATGGCTACCAGAACCTTCAGATGTGATGCAGTTTTTCTTTGGAACTTATTACCACTTCACTTTCATCAGCTAGACCAGGGCTGCCCAATCCCAGTCCTCGAGAGCTACTATCCTGCAGCTTTTAGATGCATCCCCACTCCAACACAGCTGAATCAAATGGTTTGATTACCTCTTCAGCATGCCATCATGTTTGGCAAAGGCCTGATAACAAGCCATTCATTTGATTCGGGTGTGTGGGAACAAGGATGCATCTAAAAGCTGCAGGACGGTAGCTCTCGAGGACCGGGATTGGGCACCCCTGAGCTAGACTTATCAGCCCAGTTCAAATAGCAGCTCAGAACTCAGAAGTAGGTAGTGCTAGCATTAGCCATTTAATATCATTCTCCTATCCAAATATTGGCACAGTTTCAAAATGCCAAAATGGCAACAGACAAAAATTCATCAGGTTTTGTTTTGTTTTTTGTTTGTTTGTGGGGGGGGGATGTCAAAGTGTCTGCTTTGACCATCTCAAGCATCTTATCAGCCATTGTGACAGGAAGTATCAAAAACAAGTGTTTCAAATCACAGGACTGATCTTGAACTTTCTGTTGTATTTGATGTATATGGTGCAAGTCTTGATTGACTGGCTTGTTAACATCAGTGTTTACCTAGAATTTT